TCTGAAGACTGTCAGTAGGACGACTGGTATCCCATTGGGCCATATCGTTGACATTGTCACTGATAGGCACTTGATGTCATGCAACCAATTTGCTAAAGGAATTTTGTCGGATTCTGAGCACCCACTCTACCCGCAGCTCCAACCTTGTGTCTCCTCAGGTAAAACAAGAAGTCTTTTCAGAAGAATTTATGCACATACGTCTAAGTATAAAAACTCCACTATACCATATTTAGCACGTACTTTATGTGATGAAAATAGTGTCAGACATGAACTTACTAACCTTCTTTGCACTACTAAATAAACCATTTCCTTGACCCTTAAAGCATCATTCTTTATTGTTATTGTATTTCTTATATTTATAATCCTCTCAATTTTTTCGTTTTGTTTATTTATTTTCATAAGTGTGAACATCATTTAAGCGGTGTTAAAACTGTTAATTTTGCATTTCCCCTCACTATACTATATCAACAGAACATTAGACCCAATAATCCATAACATGGAAAAGTTCCCAAACTGAATCGACAATACCGTTTGAAACAAACTCACTGTTATTATTATTTATTATCATTATTATTATATCTAATAATTATGTCGTAAACGTGGACGAATTCCTCCGATTAATTTTGTTTTAATTTTTAATTTTGTATATATTTTGAGTAAATCAGATGCAATATTGTGACAAATGCTGAGAATTTCATTCTGTATTATTATTATTGTATCCTTTCATTACTACAGGAACATAGGGCTTCAGCCGGGCGTCTCCATTGCGTTCAGTTCTCTGCTAGAGTCTTCACCTGGCTCCAAGTCTGCCCACTTTTTCATCTCCTCTTCATATGACCTCCTCCAAGTCACCCTCGCACTGACGACCAACTCGCCGCTTCCCTTTCGGCCGGGTTCCACTCGAGCAATGGCTTGTCTAGTGATGTCACTTGATGGTTTCTTCAGAGTATGGCCAGTCAATCCATCTCCATTTGTTCCTGCCTATTTGTTTCACAATCGGTTCCTTCTAGGTTGGTTCGCTCATTGCCAGAGATCTCTGTTGCTGATCTTTTCTGGCCGGCCATCTGATCTTGAATGGTATTGAGCGAAGACAACTGTTAATGAAGGTCTGTAGTTTGTTTGAGATGCTCTTTATCACGCGCTGGCCAAGTCTCTGATCCGTATAGTAGCAGTGACTGTATTATAGGTACTGTTTTTGGAATAAAGTAAATTATTATTAATGAATGCCTGTCTTGTTTTCCTGAAGCTGGCAATGACATTTTCATCCGTCCCACTTGTGGTTGAAACGAGGCTGCTTACATAAGTGAAAGGGGTATCTTTCTTCAAGTTTCTCCAACTGATAGTAACTAGTGCTTGTCGATGTTGATTGGGCATTCTCATCACCTCCATCCCCTCTGTGTTCACTTGAATTCCCGTTCTTGATGCTTCCTATACGTGTTACTTATCGCCCATAGGCTTTAGAGTTTTTGTGCCATGAGAAACTATAAGGTCTTCTTAATGAGCCAATGTATGCCTGTTTTCTCGCTCCCCATGCACAGTCTGACGTATAATCCAGTCCACCACAGTCAAGAATAATATCGATGATAGTAGGCAACATTGTTGTCTTACTCCTGACATCACTTCAAAAGCTACTCTGAGTTTTCCGTTTCAACAGATCACTTGACAGATGACATCACCAGACAACTGTTGAATGAGGTTGATAAAGGTTTTGGGCACTTCGCTGTGTTGACGTAGCTCCTAATCTACTTCACGGTCAATGCTGTTTAACATTTAACATAGGCTATTGGTATATAGTTGTTGAATGAGACTGTTAAAGCTTTAAAGTAATTTAAAGCATGGCAGGATTCCAACTGGAAACTTTTGTTTCAACATATACTTGTGAAAATTGATTCAGTTTATGTATTGTCTACTTAATGGATGGAAAAATGTCATCACTCAACCGAGTAGAAAATCACTCAAACGGATCAGTAATCAAACACAATAAAAGCAGCAACAACACTAACAGAGAGAACAATTTGTTGACAATACATAAAAAGAAAACTGCCTTAATGCGAATCAGTGCAACACCTCAGAGTTGAAAAGTTGCCTAGCAAATATCTCTTACCTCAGTTATAACTGGACAGAATTAGGAAGAAATATACCTAAATATTAGTGAAACTCTTCAGCAGTACGCATCCACCTCGTCGGGGTTCAAACCCAGGACCTTCTGGCTGCAAGGCTAGCCAGCTCGTAGGACCTGATCCAATGGCCAGTGAATTCTGATTTCTGCCAATTCATGACATAGTGCGATTACTTCGCAATGTGTTCTTCAATGAGTCCCAGTAGTTTAATAGTTTACGAGCATGCTGGCCCTGTAACCAGAAGGTCCTCGGTTCGAATTCCTGTAGGTGCGTACTGCTGAAGATTCTAAAACTAGCAACTGGCTATATTCAGGTAGGTAGTTACCTGGGTTCGAGTGGGAACTCATGACCAGTAGGGTACAGCAGGTCGGGCGTGAGGAAGAATACTCGCGAAAGTATGTAAAAAAGTACACGGACCTAATTTATTAAAGCTTACAGGGTGTACGAAGCTGATGAGAGCCAACGAAATGAAACTGATCCATGTTATACTGAGCTGTCAAGTCAGTCCTTCTGTAGTGGTTAGAAACCTGGCGTGTTTTGAAAAGGGTTTCCAACAGGTTGTAGACTTTTATCAACACCTGCCCACTTCGCTCCACACTCAAGATCAAATGACCAGCCACAAACAATAAGTAACAAGAAACAAATTATACCTTATCACCTTAATGAAGTTTTGGATCCATAGTGCTGCCGACTTAGACAATTAGGAGACACGGATATGAATATCAAAGCCAGTTGATGAGGATTGAAAAAACAAGACGGACCTTTATTACTTTGAAATTAGTGTGAAAATCTACCGCTTTCAACATAAAGAACATGACTCGGAAATTCAGCTCTAATTATTACATTAGTCAATGCTTTCATATGATTCAGAGGCTTAGCTGAGGCGTCACAAAATGCGTTTCAAACAGGCTACTGCACACTTTTATCAACAACTTCTGTCTCTCTACAGCTCCATAGTGAAGATAAGATGACTGGTCAAAAAGAATTAACAACACGAAACTTTGAGAGATAAACACTCAGGAACCTACTGCTCAACAAGTATTCTGAAGAAAATGGAAATGGACTGGACACATACTGAGTAGAACACTGAGTGGCAGTGCGTGCTAGGCCAGTGCTCTAGTGGAACCCCCTGAATGGGAAACGACGAATAGGGCGTCGGTACGAGGGTAAGAAGATGACACCTAAAAGGCAATCGTAGTGCCAGTTAAAAATGTCTGCGGAGAGCAGGATGAAATGGAGATGTGCAGCTGAAACCAAATATTCCACTCGGAATAATAATAACAATTAATAAATTCATCTAGTCCTTGTATTAAGTCGTCAAAAAAACAATAGTCTTCAAGTACATTATTCGATGGAATATTGCCCCTTTGAAAACACACCTGGCAGCGTATTGAAAGCCACTCAAAAAATACACGTGAACACGGATTATTCTTCAGAGGCGGGTAATGAGATAGCTTAAACAAATGGACATCTAGAAAAAAAGACTGATGTGTTACTTTTTGTGGAAAATTGGATGGCCCAATGACTGAAGCAAGCGGCCACCAGGATCCTTCATTATTCTTATTAATATTCTTTTAGGTTCTGAGTGGAACATAGGGCTTCAACAGTATGTCTCCCTTCCCATTCTATTTTCTGCTATCCTCTTCAGCTGATCCCTTGATTACCCATAGTCTCTCATCTCCTCCTCCATGTTACACTTGAACGACACACCCATAGTTTCCCATTGGGATTCCACTCGAGTAATGGCCTGCACTGAGCGCTATGTCATTTGACAGTCCCTTCAGCGTGTTTCCAGTCCATCTACATTTTCTCCTACATATTTGTTGAGCTATCGGCTCTTGCTTGTTGCTTTGTTGCTAGACAGAGTTTCTTGCTGCTAATTCTTTCTGGCCCGCAAGCCATCTGATCTTCACTATGAAACTCTTCGATATGGATCAGAAACTTGGTCAGTGTGAGTTGCGAAAAGCATCTGCAGAAGACCACTGCAGACCTTTGCTGAAAATCCGTATTTGGTTCTTCATGTTCCTGAGTGCAGGAGATTTCCAAGCCGATTTCAGAGTGAAAAGGTGTCTTGACTTTCCAATTCTGCTTGGTCTAGACTTCCTCGTCTATGTGGAGTGCTTGTAGTTGATGTGGTACTGCCTAGATAATCTTTCCCGTTGATGGTGATTAGTGCTGATTATTGTTGTTGCCGGTTGGTTGATTGTTTTCATCACCTCCAACTTCTCAATGTTCACCTGAAGTCCTGTCTTCGCCGCCAGTTTGTTGATAATCACCTGTAAGTCTTCGAGTTTGTATGACAATGAACATAAATCATTCACACGCGAAATCCAGATCTTCTAGAGTCTTCTTATCGGTCGACCAGTGTATTCCTGTCTCCAATCACAGTGTGCGGCATAATCCAGTCCACCACAACACACTTGGCAATATCATCGGTGATAATAGGCAGTAGCCTTGTCTTACTCATGTACTAACTTCAAATGCGTGGCAGCCTTTTTTTTACTGTGGATCACCTGACAAGTGCCATTGTCATAAAGCCGTTGAATGAGCTTACTTCGCGGCTAACGCTGTGAGTTTAACGTCTTTTGAGTGAGATTTGACTGTAACTCCATGATGCGTACAGTTACAATTTGATCCCCACATGATTTACTTTTCCGAAATCTATTTTGTTGTGGTCTGAAAGAGTTCTGCATGCGTCGGGATCAGAAACATATAAATATTCAAATGTACCGCTTCGAATACGAAAAAAATGTCAGTTTTATGTATAGATGACATGCATAATATCCTACCGATAATGAATCAATAAATTCGTCATTGTAAACAAAATTAGTAACATCAAAAATATAATCAACAATAAAAATGGTTAACTGGTTAACTCACAACATATGACAACTGCTCAGGGCGTAAAGGAGATGAAATCTGAAAAAAACAAAAACGGAAAATCAATTATTTTTTCACTTTATACTTCAAGCAAAATAGACTGAAGGCTATTCAAATACAATAGAACAAATGTGTCTAAGTTATAGTACTCTCATAATCTTGTAATTCTGGAATTTCTTAGCAGTATACCGTTTACTGTCAGTCATTAACCAGTTCTCGCATGTAGCTGACCAGGATTTGGGTGGATTGAACTTCATCTACTCTCCTGAGATAATTAAAACACTGACTGGACACCTAAATCTAGTCCTTTGTTTGGTGCAGACCGACTTCTATCATTCACTCTTTTGCAATATGATCACCATGCAACTAGGTCACAGAAGTGTTATTGTTAGATGCCTGGAGGCCTCGAACTTATGTTTTGTGCTTGTTGGCACTCTTCAGCACGGCGGCATTGGGTGACACGGGTTCGAATCTCAAAAGAGGCATGAGTTCCTTCAAAGTTACAGGTACCCCTGTCTTGATGCCTGGTGAGTGCCAAAAAGCGCGAAATCTAGGTCAAAAGCTTCCTGCCGATTGCCTCCAACCATCTGATAACAACGAGTCAGACATTGTGGAATACTAAAAATTCGTCATTTAAAGGATGAAACTGTCATCTGATATGTCAGATCACTTCGATATGACTCATCTTCACTACTGTTTGAGTCATGGCATTGGAGTGAAGTGGTATAATAAGGTGAGCAATATTGAAGTTAGGCGTCGAGTGCTAGGTAAGGCAGAGAAATCAATCGACGAAACTGTGAAATTACATCGACTGAGATGGTTAGGACATGTGCTCCGTATGCCTAGTCATCGCCTTCCTCGACGGGCAATGTTAGCTGATATAGGGCCAGGCTGGAAAAGAGTTAGCGGCGGTCAAACGAAAAAATGGCACCAGTCAATGAAATCTACAACAGTTAGTCTAAGCCACGTAGGAAGGTGTAGACTTCCTGACTGGTTGGGGTCCTCGGGACGGTACAAACCAATGGTTGGAAACAATTGGTAACATGGCTCAAAATCGTTCTCAGTGGCGCAGATGCATCCACCCCTTGTGACTTATAATATCCAATGAAACTGTATTGTTCTCCGTTATTACTATTCCTTTGTCTCACACCTCTGTTTACTGTCTCTAATATTCATTTCTCCTACTTTATTGTCTTGCTTAGCGTGCTACATGGAGTGTGGTGACTTGAACTACCGCACATATGTGCAAAGTTCTATATCGAAAACCGACCGACCGACCATCTTCACTACAAGTGGATATGAGCAGCTATCAACCAATCATCTCAGTTTATAGTGTATATCATGAATCAACTATGAGGCACTAATTTTTTAATATTTGAACATATATTATTAAAAATCGAATTTTGTTCACCACTCAGAATAAATCAGTTTCAAAATTCAGATCTTATTATTAAACAGAAACTCAGTTAGGCATAAAATATCTTGGCGTAGTTCTCTCCTTTGACCTTCCCTGATCATCTCAGATCTTGTAGACTTCTATGAAAATGTTTTCCCTAACCACCTACTTTATTAAGAAGTTAAGATAATCAGGAATCATTCGATCTCTGCTTTTAAAGTTTGTTATCTCTTTCATTCAATATACTGCTCCCCACCCTTAGTCTTTCCTGGCATACTCAAAAAGAACTAACTCGTATTTTAATGGGCTCACAAAAAACACACCTTTCAAACGCATCACTGAACGTTATCCGACACTATTAATAAAAGAACAATGCAAGACAGTTACTAGCTTATTTCTCGAGCAATTAGTGAACTCGGTAGCACAGGGGTTAGGGCTGTCGCTGACTATGCACATGGTCCGCAGTTTGATCCCCAGCCGACGCACACCTGATATCAATTGTTCGGCCTGCAAAATTTGGACTACCGGTATAAAATGCTGAAAATTCCACACTTGTACCAAAAATATGGCTTCAGTCAGCTCCAACAGAGTCATCTTTCAAGATTATCTACAAGGTGAGACCAAATGGTACACAGAGCGTTAGGTTTTGGCATTTATGTATGGTGGAGTTGTTAGCAATCCGTCAATACATCTCCTAACTCTGTATACAGGAGAATTTTGTCCAGTCTCTTATTCTACCGTGGTCTTAACCTCTTCAAAGATCCTTCCCTGTTTGTTTTTCTAAATTTTTATTTTAAATGATTAGTTTGCTCTTACTAAAGTAAGAGCAATTATTAATAATTAATTTACTATTATCACTCCCACATGTTCCTTCTCCCACATTTTCTCACCTTCGTCACACTTGTTAATTAGACACTCAACTACCTTCTTCTCACTCAATAACAATTTTGACTTGATCAGATTTCTAACCCCCTCTTCTTTTGTGGCGTTGAGTACTACGTAATTTATTACTTTTATTTTTACTTTTGAAACCACTTCTGAGTAATTATATCAATTATGTAACCCCCTATTACTCAATAATAGACCACTATACATTTTTGGTAAATATGAATACATGGAGGATTTCATCATGAGCTGACATCAGTTAGAGAATCACTGGAAAACCAACTGGGAGTACTGGACAGCTGTTCCCCCCGTCCTAGTTTGAGACTCTTCATCAGTACACACCCCCCCACCGGGATTTGAACCCAGGACCTTCTGTTTACAGGGCGAGCTCGTAGACCATTGAGCCACTGGGACCCGACATTGTGAAATGGTCGCGCTATGTCGTGAATTGGCAGAAGTTAGAATTCAAGGACCATTGGATCGGGTCCCAGTGGCTCAATGGTCTACGAGTTCGAAAGTAACCAGAAGGTCCTGGGTTCAAATCCCGGTGGGTGCGTACCGATGAAGAGTCCCAAACTAGGGCGAAACAGCTGTCCAGTAATCCCAGGGTTTCCAGTGGTTCTCTCATCTCATGATGAAATCCTTCATGCAATCAAACAAAATCCCTACAAAAACCAATACTTGAAAATATTAATACGACTGTACAGCCTGTGAAGATGATTTTGTCGATGAAGAAAATTTTCTTCACCGAATTGTCTTAATGGGTATTTAAGTACAGTATTTATTAGGATATGACGAGATCCTTAGAATAACAAAAGTTTTACAGTGTAGCTGAATAATTTCTCGAAATAATATTAACTTAAAGTTGATACATCTGTTGTTGTTCTTGCTGTTTCTACTGATGAAATTTCATAAGTAGTATTTTGTGTTTGATGTCTTCCTTAGGAATCTTGAATAGGGAAACGTCGGATTAACTTGCAAAGAAGAGAAATGAAATACAGGAAACATGAAAAGACGACAAAAGAAGCACAATACAGAAGACGTGTGTAAGTGAAGATTTCAAGTGTAAGATATTTGTATTTTGCCGTATCTGTGCATCAGTTTGCTGCTAAATAATCTCTCTACGAAATGTTACCGTGTTTTGCAGTTAAGCTCAAAGTCGCTCAAATTTCACACGGAGGAGTCCGTGTAGTGAGGAGGAGATGGGAGAGTCGTGGACCTAGCTGCAGAGGACAGTGGGAAACAGAAAAAGTGGATATGTTTGCGAGTATTGGTTTTGTAGGAATTTTGTTTGATTGTTTCGAGGATGTCATCATGAGCTGACATCAGTTAGACAACCACTGGAAAACCACCTGGAAGTATTGGACAGCCAGCTGTTTCGTCCTAGTTTGAGAATCTTAGCACCCACCCCACTGGGGGTACAAACCCAAGACCTTCTGTTTACAAGGCTAGTGAGCTCGTAGACTATGAATTCCAACTTCTGCCAATTCATGACATAGTGCGACCACTTCTCATGGTGTTAGTTTGCTATATTCCTAATTTAAAATAGAAGTTAGAATTCACAGTTCGGCGGATTCCAGTCCATGTGGTTGAATGATCAGCAGGCTGACCTCATAACTGATGGTTTTACATTCAACCCCTGAAGGGAACGTGGGTGTGCACTGCTGAAAAGTTTGAAAATGTACATTCTAAATTTTTAAAAAGACGCTGATTCGTGACGGGACAAACAATACTCTTCTCCACAATGTCTTCTTTAGGTTCTAAACTTATATATCCACATTATCAAGTATTGGTTTGCAGGGATTTGATCGCTTACAGGGTCGATCACGAACCGATACCAGTTCAAACCCCGGTGATTCCATTCGAAACTAGAACGAAACGCCTACTCCAATACTTTCAGCTGGTTTTCCAATTACTCTCCAACTGATTTCAGCTTGTGATCGATTCTGTAAAGATATCCACGTTAGTTATAGAATAATTGTTATTGACACCATTATTGTGTCTTGATAACATCGAATAATTAAGATCAGATGTCTAAGGGGGATGTATGGGAGTAAAGTGTCACTAGACTACACTTGTGCGTATATGGTAGTAATAGTAATAATAGTAATAATAATAATAATAATAGGCATAAATGTAACACTTAACTGAACATCAGATATCACAGTAAATGACCATAGATGGTAATGAAGATTCAATCAATAATCCGAATGCTCATAATAAGTGCCATAAATGAATTGTACTCAATGGGATTGTAAACTATGTATGCATAAATGATCATTATCAAAAACAGGTAGAGAAAAAAGAGTAGATGGTTGTGCGTGTTTGCCTGTGCATAAGTGAATCGTCAAGTGTCAAGTAATATAAACCAAACCTGCAGTATAAAATATTATTATTATTTCCTTTAACTCATAGAGGAATATAGGGCTTCAGCCACAAGTCTTCATTGCGTTTGGTTCTCTGCTAGAGTTTTCACCTGGCTCCGAGTCTGCCTACATGCTTTCATCTCCTTTCCACATGACCCATTCCAAGTCACCCTCGCACTGACGACCAACTCGCCGCTTCCCTTTCGGGTTCCACTCGAGCAATGGCTGCTCTAGTGATGTCATTTGATGGTTTGTTTTCTCAGAGTATGGCCAATCCACCTCCATTTCTTCCTGCATATTTGTTTCACAATCGGTTCCTGGTTGGTTCGCTCATTGCCAGAGATCTCTGTTGCTGATCTTTTCTGGCCATCTGATCTTCAGTATTGAGCGAA